TTTTCAGGGATATTCATGATTAATGTTGGAGTATGGGAAACTGATTTCAGGCAGGTGCTTTATGTCACAAACCTAGCCATCACTGAGAACCGTTCTATGAGATTTCTAACTATCATTTATGTGCTTAATAAAAGTCTTTTAAATATTTTAATTTCTCTTTATTGTCTTTTTGCAAATGTGGTATGTAGACAACCTTTATTTTCTTAGCCTTTCTATTTTCTTCTACCTGAGTTACTGATAATTCTTAGCAAATGTACAATAATTATTAGTTTCCCTGTAATTACATCCATTAACCAAACCATCAACCAAAACACACCCAATTCCAAAACTCAGTAATATTTTAATTTTTCACCAGAGTGCCTATTTAGACATGTTTCACTGATATAATATTTTAATATTTTGTTAAATTATGTTGAACTCTTGCCTAACCCTTTTTCCTTACCTTGTCATGTAGATACCAATTTGAATTTAATGGTGTCAAATGGTTAAGATATTGTGTGGGCACAAATGACAGGCTAATGACTAGAAAAATAAGAAGCGATCCTATTGCTGATGAAAAAGTATAAAATAAAAACAGATTAAAGTGCTGTTTTACAGATGATAGACTCTGTAATAGCCAGAATGCAAGTGTATTTATTTCTAATTTATTTTAAATGAATATGACATGGGTGTACACTATTCAAATTGCATTCAGTTTGGACTCATTTTAATGAAGGTAATTTGAAAATGCTTGATTGATCTCTACATGGACAAAACTACTGAAAAATAGTGTATTAATTTTCTCATAGGTAAGGATAATTAAGTTGCTATCAGTTTAACCCTGGAAATCAGGGCAAGCTAACAAATATTTTCTTAACCAATCTCTTAACCAAACCAGTATATTTTCCCAAATATCCCTTCTGTCAACTTTCCCAATTTAAATTTTCTTTGCTTTCATTTTATCTTATTTCAATCGACCCCATCTGATTCTCTTTACGTTGTCATCTGTATACTCACCCCCATATTTTCTCTCTGTAAAGTGTATATTAATTCCTTTATTACACCAATTAAAACTGCTAGGGATTTCCAGCATTCTGATGCCAACATACATGTAAAAGGAGACAAATGGAGCAGAATTCCCAGTTTTATATATTTCCTACCATCACTATACTTATTTATAGGAAATGCATTATATGTAATTTTTAAATGTTCAAGTAAAAGGTTTGTGATGTTAACACTTTTTGTTCTTCTGGTATTGCAGTAAAAGGACATGAGTCAAGAACAACCGGTCAGATGAGGAAGCACTTTCCTCTTTTATTGATGTATCAACTACAAGTAGCATGTGGAAATGTTGACCACTAGTCTAGAATGTGCACATAGTGCAGACTGTAGAACAGCAGTCTAATAGCTTATTCTGCATATTACCATATTCCTGTATTCTTCTCATAATGGGACTTTACATATTATCACATCCATTGAGAAGTGACCACAGGTGTGAGCCCATTAATGCAGTACTTCCCATTGAGCCCATTGATGCAGGACTTCCATCTAAGTTTATCCTCTTCTTAGACATGTGTCTAGATTGCTAAAGGTGTAATATGGCTCTTTTGTTAAACTTACATTTTGTCAAATTTTAAAAAACGACATTAGTAATATTCCCATTGTTTTTCACACTCATTAACTGCTAAAACATATTGAAATCCTAGACACACGACGTACTCAGGAATTACATATATTACAGTATATGGTGTGTTATTTTTAGAAGTTTATTTGTGGACACCTTATCATAGGCAATCCTGTGAAAAAAAAATATTTTTTACATTTGTATTGAAAGAGTCACTCATATTTGTAAAGTATCAGAAGAATGCTCTAGCTGTCTTTCAGAAAAGCAATGTGTGATGAACAGAAGAACACACACACATAACCACAAAACATCCATGATCTTTACTGTATTATATGATTAACTCCTTCACATCACCTCTTGAGTATATTTTGCCAGAGTATGCAGTCATACAAGTTTGGTGAACTATGGTACAATATACAATATTATTCTTGCATGAAAAAATATTTAAAGATGGAAACGAATTACTCAAATACAACACAGAAAAAAATTTGGTTCTAGAAAAAAAGTTTTGAAAGTTTTGTCAGGCAGGAATTGCCATTAGCTAATGACAAGATTTTTCCAGTTTGGAAATCGATGTTATTCGCTAACATTAGTGGAAGTCATTTTAGTAGCTGCTTGTCAGTAAAACTTATCACCAACATTGGAAACATGCATCTAGACTTTCTTTGCGACGTGGTTAAATCCTTTACCAGATCAATGAATCCCCAGTAGTGTAAATCATTGCATTCATTGCTCTTAGTTATCATTTATATACAAATTTTATTACATAAAGAAATACACAGGACCTTTCAGTATTCTATAAATGTCACTAGGTGAATAATTTATTTATGAAAATTCTATTTTTTTTTATGCAAATAGCTAACCCTAGCTACGATATTCTGAATGTAGGTCTACTGTTACTGTTCATATTAACTGGAACAGTTATGATAATCATGCGTTGATAAATCATCTCTTTTCATTCACATTTTGTTTATTATACTTTAGTCATCAAATAGTGATTTGTTTCTCCATGTGATTTATTTTTTAAGCTTAAATATTGGATATTATATATAACTATGTACACTTTATTTTCATGGTGTATAGAAATCGTTATAATTAAAGCAGAATGTCCTAATTCTTACTTCTTTTATGGCTTTTTTTATGATGATTATTATGATTATTGGCATTCTTATTTTTATGTCCCATAATGATCTTTAACCCCCCTTTCACTACCACAGCACCTTATCCTCACTGCATCTCTATCTGTTATGGGATCCCATTGAGCAATATTTGTGATTGACGGTTCGCTATTTTTAATCAGTAACTGTGGGTACATCAATTTTAGAAATTCCACGCAATAAGATGACCTTTAATTTTCAATAAACACACAACTATTTCAACATTTAAACAATATAAAAACAAATAACAATGTTCTCATGTACTCCAACAATGTGCACATCACTGCAAATAAGTGGTTTACAAACTTACATCAAATTGGGGTGGTTATTACTATCAAAACTCAGTGGTCAACATAAGGCAGATCTATTGTATATCAATAAAATATGTTCTCTAGCTTTAGAATATTACCTCAATATATTTTTGTGTGGTGTTTAGCACAGCCATACAGATGGTATCCTTTTAGTGCAATGCACACCCCGCTGCACAACATATAAACAGGTATGGTGCACCCCTTCAAGTGCAAAGAGACAATAATTATTATATAAATCACATTTATCTTGCAAAAAGTATATTTACAAATGGGTTTATGTTTATTGCTTCTCACAATAAATGCTCCAAATTCATTACATGGAACCCCATATGAAAAATAGAAAATGCTGATAGTGTGATATCCTTAATGAATCCAATAAAACCAGATAAAAATATGCTTACAGTATTGCTAGTGGGAGTAAACAGGTTTTAATTTCAAAAAACTATGCCCAGTACCAAACTTTGCAGCTAAGACACCGACCAATTTAATTGTTCCATTCAGTCTGCTCGCCACTGCAGCTACGAATTCCTCACTCGCTAATTGCTTCTGGGTTCTGGACAATTGGCATGGTGACATAAACGCGTATTGCCCATCCAAGTGGGCTTCCTCAAAGTGCTGACTTATGCCTCTCACCCTTTTCCTGATAGAGCCAATTTGGGATTGACGAGTGTCCATAATATACTATTGCAAATATTTTTGATAAAATAGAAAAGAGATTAAGCAGATAAGATAAAAATACCAAAGGGATAAAAATGAATATGCACAAAATCAAATAAAAGATTTAGCAAAAAAAACATAAAAGTATTCAAAATATGGGGAAAATGGGTATGCAAAATTAATAGCCCCTCATAATTCAGATACAATATACAATATTATTCTTGTATACAAAAGAAATTTGAGAGGGGGTTTAGTCATAATAATATGGGATGTGGGCCCAGAGAGAGACAAACAAATAAATAGAGACACCTACATTCTGGGAAAGCAGTCACCTAAAATATGGGGGAGAAAACTTACCTCTAAAAAGGAGAATGAGGTGCAGTGTAGAACAGGAGAAGGTACTCATTTAAAGAAAAATGTTAATTATAAATGGGTATTTTTAACTTATCAGGAAAAACTTACTGAAAGTCAGAAAACAGTCCTTAGAAAAGGTTTAAAATTTGCTCCTGATAGAGGTTTAAATAAATTCACCAAATATGTTGCTATACAGAAATGCATTTGAATTAACTCTTAGAAATATTTTCTTAATATAAAACAAAAAAAACTATTACTAACAATGAGCAAGGTATAATACAGTCAGGATTAAAACATATATCAAGGGGGCGGGGCCTAGGCATCATGGCAGCTGGCTGCACATCAAGTGAGCTCCTGCTCTCACTCACCAAATCAGCCTGAAAAACCGGCAGCCAGCTCGCTCCAACTTAGTTGCGCAACACTATCCGCAGCCCTGGGGGGAACTCTCACAAACCAGAGCAACTCACCTGCTGAGATTCCCCACAGAGATCCCGCTGCGGCCTAATGTTGCTGATGGATGGGTGAAACGGCTGATCACCCGTACAAAGCGGTGCAGCTACAAGTGGGACCTGCCACATACCCCAATCTCCCCTCTCCCCCCTCTCGACCGGTGGGGCAAGAACAGGCTTGACAAGCGATCCGCTTGCAGGCACCAGGCACATGAGATGAAGCCAACATGGCTGCCGGATGGGTGACACCGCAACCACAAACAAGCAAGGGGGCGCAGGAGTTGCTGAACTCCTTCAATGACAGGTTTGAGGCACTATGTCAGCAATTCTGGTGCTGACTAGCCAACCAATCTGGGTGATCTCACCCCCTGTGCCCCACAGCTCCACAAGGACACCTTTGTAGCTGGTCTCCCAACCAAGCTAGCAGCATCCCTAGAACAGAGCACATGTCAACCTGCTCCTCTTTTAGCACACTTGGGTGGTACTGCTGGACTCCTTGCTTGCTCTTCTTCCAAGCCGGCGGCTCAATTGGAGTTAACCCCCAATGCCATCCATACACCCAGGGGTCTATTTACAACTCAGAAGACCCAAGAGCCCACAATCCTGCTGAATGGATCAATGGCCTTAAGGAAAGGGAAACAGAGACCCCGCGGATCCACACCCTGGCAGCGAGTGACAATGCCCGGACAGAACTGGAAATAGGAAATGCATGGCGAGAGGTGATGTGCCTCATCAACTGTGGCATAGACCTCCAGCTATCTGAAGGGACGGCCACACAAGGGAGTCAGCTGAACGCCTGGCAAGTCCAGTGGGACACTGTCTAGCTGAACCTCAGTGGCACCTGCATACACCAATTGCTAAATATGCATGTCTTTTGGTTTTCTTTGGCCTGTTGCCTTTTATTTTAGTTACCTCAAGTCATGACACAACCATGCCAAAAAGTCACCGCCCTCAGTGGAGCTACTCATCACGGCACACACATCCTGTACCTAATAGCCCTGAGCTGGCCTGGCAATTGCACAGGCCTCAGTGGTATAAACCTGCCTGTTACGTGACATGCTACTACCCTTATTAGTACAATAGCTTAAGCGTGCCTAGAGTATGTTTACCAACAGAGGCGGCTCTCTAATTAGGCGATTTAGGCGGCCGCCTAAGGCCTCGCGCTGTGTGGGGCCTCGCGGCCGCCTAAATCACCTGAGGGCAGACTGACATGTCGGGTCCTCAGTCTATGACCGAGGACCCGACACAGGAAGGGGCCCGGCGGCTTGCCCTGTATGCCGCCGGGTGCGAGGCCCCTCTTGTCAGTCCGCCCGGGGAGAGCCGGCCTCAGTCTGCAGCTCCGCCGGGTGTGAGCTGCAGACTGAGGTATCTCGCACTCTCCAGCCAATCAGAGCGTTGCCGTGGGTTACCACGGCAACGCTCTGACTGGAGATCGCGAGACACTCACCACGTGGTCTGCAGCTCTGCATCCGGCGGAGCTGCAGACCGGAGAGACCACTGGACCACCAGGGAGCCATCCAGGACACTGGACCACCAGGGACAGATTGACCCCACTGGACCACCAGGGAAAAAGGTAAATTTTGATCCCCTCACCCTGCACCCCACCTGTCACCCCCCCTCACTGCCACCTCACCCTGTCACCCCACCTCACCCTGTCACCCCCCCTCACCCTGTCACCCCCCCTCACCCTGCCACCTCACCCTGCCACCTCACCCTGTCACCCC